GTGGTGGCACGCGCCTGTAATTCCAGCTCTTGGGAGGCAGTAAACAGGCGGATCACTAGGAGTCCAATCTAGTAGTGAGACCCTGAATACTCTGTAGACCCTTCCGTAAAATTCAAAAAATAAAAAATAAGAAGTTATGATACATTAATCTAATTAGTAAAGAAAAAAATACGGGCTTGTCTACATAATTGGAAAAGCTAAACTAAAACTACCAGACTCGAGTCAGAAAGCTGGGAGCTCTAGACCAGGCTTTGCCACTTATGTGTTACTTGCTTAAAAACATTCTCATTTGTTGAAATTTCTTCTTCAGCAGCAGTTGGCATTTTATCCATTCCAGTTTTTTTTTTTGAAACAAGGTCTCACTATGTAGCCTAGGTTGGCCTGGAACGCAAGGCAATCTTCCTGCCTCAGCCTCCTAAGTGCTGGAGTTGTAAGTGTGCCCTGCCAGCCGAGTCACCATACCTACTTCTTAAAAAATGTTGATAAAATGTACTTGGTATGGATGTGCAATACAGGGTCAGAATGTTAATTACACAGATTTTATAAACATTCTTAAATAAAAGATTTTGACTAAGCTTATCAATTCCAAGAAAATCTAGAATGGAATATAGGAAAGTTAAAAAAAAAAAAAAAATCACAGGTGCCACCAAAGGGAGGTCTCATGTTGCAAGACACTCAGAGGGGACCCAGAGAGATAGCTCAGTAAAACAAGTGCTTCCCTGGCAAGCACAAGGGTCTGAGTTCAATCCCCAGTTCCACAAAAGGGAAAAAAAAAAAAGGGCTAGGGAGATAGCTTGGTGGAATAAGTGCTTCCCCTGGCAAGTGCAAGGGTCTGAGTTCAATCCCTGGTTCCACAAAAGAAAAAAAAAAAAAATCATCACAGGCCCCACCAAAGGGAGATCTCATGTTGCAAGATACTCAGAGGGGGCCCAGGGAGATGGTTCAGTAGAATAAGCACTTGTCTAGTAAGTACAAGTACCTGAGTTCAAAAAAAAAAAAAAAAGACTCAGAGGAGCAAAAATACTTATTTCAAATTTTACCCTGGTTAAGTTTTTCTTCTAAATGATGACATTTTCATCCTTTGGACTGTCTCAAACTGTGACAGAAACTAATCTTCCTGTTTGTTGTACTATGCACTCTTGGATAAACATGAAAACTCGCTAGCTGGGTCCCCCCGACATCCCTGCTCCCCAGGCTGAAGGCAGCCCAGGTACTTGACACATTACAGGTCCGCGCTTCTTCGTAGTCTAGGAGCTGAGCCTAAGAGCGTGAACTCGAGCCAAGCCTTGACTCAAAGCCCAGCCGCCATGGCTACTTACCATGTAATTTGGGGCAAATCCCTCAGAAGCTTCAAGTTTCTTCTTCTGTAAGATGCAACTACAGTACTGAACCCATCTCATGGGTTTATAAAGACCTGAATGAGCAAGTACATTAAAGAATTCCTCTGAGGTCTGGGCTATATACAGCTTGGTGATGTTTGCGCAGCATGTGTGAAGCCCTGGATTTAAGTCCTAGGACAGTAACAGGAAAAAAGTTCACTTAATAAGTTAATTTGTAGCACATGCTTAATAATAGCAGCTACAATTACTGACTCAAAGTCCAGCCGCTTTTGCTATAAAAAAAAAGTGCCCCCACTTTAGGCACTGAACATGGGGGTCCCTGACTGCAGTCTTTAGTCCATGTGTACTGGGCTCCTGACACTTCCACAATTTTTGTTGATTTATAGATTGTATTGAAATACCTAGTACCACTAAATATCACTGTATCATAAGTGACACAGTAAAAGAACTGTTTATAATTTATCTCTGCAAAATTGAAAAGTTAATTGGATGTGGTAGCTTATCTGTAATCCCAGTACTTGGGAGGCTGAGGCAAGAGGATCATTGTGAGTTTGAGACCAGCCTGGGCTACATGGTAAGCTCAAGGCCAGCCTGTGTAGTCAAAAAGATTTAAAAAAAAAAAAGTTTTAAAAGAAAAAAAAAAGTCACTTTTGCAATCTAAGCATTTGGTTTTCACACCATAATTTACGCTTAAGAAAATGGTGAAAAATTCTGAACTTAATCTAGGAAATATTAACATTTGGGGGCTGAGACTAGCAATTCTGATTGGTCACTTGAAGTGAGCATAATGAAAAATATCATAATGCATCCCACAGCTTTTCAACTCATCACCAACTGTATGTCCACTTGTTCACTTACGCCTTAGCAAGGGCTATGGATTTTGTAGAATCTTCCTGAAAGATACACGTACTGCTGCTTTCCGGTATGTGCAGCTTGTCTATGCATGAAAACATTAGTTACTTCGAGCTAGTTAATATGCCACGCTGCCTCGTTTCCTGGTGAGTCACTTAACAACGCACTGCATGCCTATTTTTTCACTTTCATAAGTGATACGATTTTACATGAGTTAGCCATGACTGTGGTAGTCCACGAAAAGATTTATCACCTACAGTGTGAAATGAGGTCACCATGTGCCTGTCAGGCAGCACTTGGAACTAGGTGGCTGACAAGATACAGCAGCAGCTGCGATGCGTCCAGGTGGAGTTCTGTAAAAATGCAGTCACTGGACTCACCTGCGATTGTGTCACTGAGCTCATATTCACAAGTGGACTCATTATGAAGTGAAAAAAAATAATAAGCTGGAGGGAAGGAGTATAATCAAAGAGAACACTTTTGGTTATCTATGTGTCTTAGAACGCACACTGAAATGGAGAAGTATTGTAGGTTTGACAAGTTTTCAGTCATCTATTGTGTCTAAATTTCCAAACGGTGTATCCTTACACGTGCTTTATCAGGAAAAAAGCATGATAGTGCACTAAATGGGAGTTATCTAGGGGTCTGGGTATCTCCCCAGCTCAACAGAATAAGCACTTGCCTTGCAAGTGCTGGGTCCTGAGTTCAATCCCTGGTACCGCAATAAAAAAGAAAAATGGGAGTAACCTTGCACTGTTTTTCATCTCACAGGCCCCTATGGAATCAGGCAGTTTAAAATAAAATACTAGAGTAGGAACTCTAGCAGCTATACCCAATTTTCATGGTTCAAGCAGTCACCGTCAACACTGAACAAGCACTGAATCACTGTCCCCAGGGAAGTGTGGGTTAGTTCTTGTGAACCTGTCACTCTTGATAATCAGTCAGCAGTCTTGCGTTACTTCTGTTTTGCATTACTTCTGTTAAGAAATATTATTTAACACTGGAGGCGCAGCCTACAGCACTGACTCATCTAAGGCTCACCTGACACACACAGGGTGCGTCACATGCTTTTAGTACATGTGCTCTACCTAGACAGTGTCTATCCTAACTCAAGGGCCAACATAACGCTCACATGGAGGACATGGCACACACGCACCACAAAAGGGGGCTGCTTGTTTATGGTCCAACAGCTGGAAAACAAACCAAGTCTCATCAGGGAGAGCGCACAGCAGGGGCCGCCCTGTACACGTCCAGCCATGCCTGAAAAGCATGAACATTGATTTTGGAGCTGACAAATTCATCAAATAGAGTCCACAATCTACTAGGTTGATTTTTCCTGAAACAATTACTTTAAGATCAAAGGTCTACTTGGCATATCTGTGGGCACTTACAAATTTGCTGTATCTAAAGACATCTATTAAGACATTTCAAGAACAGATGGATGCGACTTATCTTTCTGTCCTACAATACTGAATTCCAGCAATCTAAAATTAGCTAGTTTGTGCCAACATCTGAAACACATTTTGGAACTCAAGCGAGAACTTCAACTAAAGCCTGTTCTTTAAACGCTCAGTCTTTTTATACTACAATTTCCAGAAAGGTAGCATAGACTTGTCATCCATAAGTACCGAAGCAAACCTTTCAGACATGGGAGAATTTTGATCAATTGTTAGCCTCCTGAGAGCAACTACAAAACAAGGGCTGGGGATATTGCACAGTGGCACAGCACCTGCCTGGCTAGCTCCAGCTCCCCAGTTCAATTCTCAATATGAAAAACAAACCAAAAACCCCCATGAAGCTGTAAAATACCACTGACAGTTCACTGCCTGCACTCATTTGAGCCACAATAATGGAGGGAGACTCAGCTTTGTATCAATTTCAAAAGAAGTCAAAGGGAAAAGCGTTCTAGGTGACAAGCCTCATGCTGCTCGGAGACCTGCCCATTACAAAGCAGGATTTTAGACTCCACGTATCCAGCGTGGTAATGAGGTAACGATGTGACTTGGCATGCACAATGGAATAATGGGTTAATATTAGACCATTTTCTCAAAAATCCAAAATGCCTGAAATACTAACAGATATCAGAAACCTAAAGTCAAGAATACCCTCTGGAAGACGGAATTCCTGTATCTTACTTTTGACAAAAATCCTGAGTGGTAAGGTTATTATAATATACTGAAATTAAGTCATAATCACAAACCACTGAACTGAAGATCTCGCCACAGTAAGGGTTAGGGCTGGGTTGCATTCCGTGGTGGGGCATGAGTTCAGCATGCACAAGACTCTGTGGTGTCCCAAGCAGGAAGGCTTTAAGCTAGTCCAACCTTTCTGACAACTCACTTGGTAATCTTAAATTCATTCCATGCACTAGAGGAATGGCCTGTGCCTTTTAACTTAAAATTATGCACTTTTGAATTCAACAGAAGAGATTTTTGTGCCAACTAGCCTCTAGGTCTGTGAT